GTCTGGAAGTTACCAGCAGTTCTTGCAAATCTATTAACTTTGGATTCAAAACTGGTTATGCATTAAACCATCCCTCAGCAGACTAGAGCTTTTTTGAATAGTAGTTGCTGGCAATGTTACTTACTTTAAGTCCAAGGCAGTGCTGTAGAAGCTTACTTTCATCATTTGATACTAACATTTCCACAGAAACTTTGCATTCTCCTGACTTTCAGGAAAAGATAGTCTTTCTTTAGCTTATTTGTAGTAGTCTTTTTTGTTTTATATAAATGTTATATATTTGTGTGAAGTTTATTGACTTAACATTCAACCTCAAAGGCCAGCTATCTCTCCACATTCCCTATATTGGCTTAAGCAGCCTTATTGGGAGTCACAATCCACTGGAACAGCTTGTATGGATATACAACAAACGTGTCTGCATCTATTTCTTAAAAACCTGGAACAAATGCTTAATTCAAGTGGGTTGCAGAGTTCTAGCTTCATGAACACTTTTCTACTTCTCACTGTATAGGCAGATTTTCACTTAGGCATCTTTTAAGATTTGAGACATAGACAGAATGGCAGCAACATAACTACACAAAAAGAGAGCAAAAATACGGTTCTAGTTACCTTTCTTCGTCTTGTAAGGTCCTCCATTGGGGTGTATCTCTTGTAATGGGATGGATACTACCTTGGCTAGGCCAGCATTCATCATATATTGATAGAGACGTTTGAAAGTTCTCTCACAAAGACCCTATTGCAAAAAGAAAGGGCAAAAGTCATTGTAGCCCGAGTGTCTCACTTTTAGGTGATGAGTATCAAAGACTATATTCATACTGCCTGTTCTTAAAACAGTATTTTGGGATAGGATATTAAAGAAGGATCTTAGTAGCTTGCTAGTGCAGCCCCAGCCTGACATGAGATGCTTCTGGAGTGCTTCCTATCCTTCCAGCTCCACCATCCAAACAAGCAGCAGCCACCAGCAGCAGCATTGTGCAAGAACTACACAATAACAGGCACAGGCAAACCTTTTCTGAACCTCTGGATGGAGCAGAACTTAGTTATGACAAAAAGCAACTTGATTTTGATGGCTTTTAAGATCTTCCTTTTGATCTCCTACCCCAAAATTCTGTGCAATTTAAAAAACAGTCAATTATTCATACTGCCTTTGATACTAATCACCTAGATTCTACATGGGTGAGAATGTGAAAGAGTAATGAACCTCACCAGTTCCTCCCTCAAGTTTCCTAATGTTTCCATCTGGTTTGAACGAGCACTTAGCATACTTGAGAGCTTCTCCATCAGAATATCATATTTGCTCCTCCTAACCAAGAAAAGAAAATTATTTTAAGTGTAAGCATGCAAATAACTTTATAAACATGAGTTGTACCTTTAGAAAATGTCAGTATTCACTAGAGAAAGCATGCTAAAGTGTTCTCCAATTGTTTGTGGAATTATAGTTCTGTGAATAGCACGAGTTTGTCATTAAGAAGAGACTCCAAATGAGGGAATGGTGACTAAGTCCAGGCTATTACTTCATTTGCAATCCACAGAAACACAAGTTCTAATCACAAAAAAAAGACAGGAAAATGTAACACCAATTAGAAATGTGTTTGAAGTAAGAACACTCAACATAAACAGTATGAATAGTGCTACAATGAAGAGAGTTAGGCTGATGTGGGCAGGTGACAGGCACTGGACATGACCCCAAGACAAGCAAGTTTTAAACTGTGCAGCACTTGGAAGAGGAGTTAATAAGGAATTGAGAAGAATCAGTACCAGGAAGCTGTGATGGTTCCATGACAACAGAGCAAGCTTTCAACATGATAAAAGGTCACATTCTACCCAGGACACCTCTGAGTGGCACAGACCTGTCAACGTGGAAGCGAGTCAGCAAGAGAAGAATTGAGTGTTGCTGTGCTCCACTTGGCAGTCTGATGACATGGGACTGCAGTGTTATGAGACCATTTCTGTCCAGTACTCTTCGGTGATAATGAATTTTCCCAGCATCCACTCTAAAAATAAAGAATAAAAAGATGGCAATATATCCCCAGGCACAGATATTTCTGTAAATAAGCTATAAATATCCACTGTCTCAGCACCCTTTACCTAAATTACATATGGTCTTAGTGACAATGATTTTCAAAGCGACAATCTCAAAACTGGGAAGTGCCAAAATTAAAATAACCTGTGAAACTGATTTTCACAGTTAATCCAATTAAACAGAGAGAAACCCTCTTTCTCCCTCCTTCCTTTCTAACTCCTGCCTACATTACAATCAGTGCTGTCTTTGTGAGAGCTCTGGGATTTGCCTCACTCCTTGGTGAGCTGACTCAGGCCACTGGAACTGGCAGAAAAGTATCCACAAAAGATTTCCCTCCCACTCCCGTTGTCTTAGTTGCCTAAAAGAACTTCCTTGGTGGCAAAAAAAACCCCAGTGCCACTGTGATCTGCAAGACACACATGCTTTGTCTCCCAGAAACAGGGAGCCCTCAACAGGAATGCTAATATCCTCCTGCACTGCCATACAAACCCAGTGTCCCCTCACAGCCTGTGATAGGCTCCTCCATCAACAAAGTGGGCTAGTCTGGGAGCTGGCAACTCAGGCTGCCACTCTGGTCAGTAGAGAAAGATGTTACAGGGGGTCGATGCTGTGGACAAAAGGTGGGCATCCAAGAATCTCTTCAGAACTTGTACAGGATAACTCAGCAGTTTGCAAAGGAAAAGAGAACTACCCTCTTGCCCCAGATTTGACGAAAAAGCAATTTAGAGAAAGCAAGAACTTTCACAAATTAGAAACCTGTGTATTGACCCCACAGGCCATATCACGACCTCATGAGAAAATGTCAGGAAGTGTGACAAGCTTGAGGAAGAGACGGATACAATTCTGCCAATGCAGGCTCCACGACCAAGAGCAAACCGGTGGAAACCTGACTTTGACTCAGCTCATACAGCAAGATACAAACTTACTTGAAAGCCCCACTGTGAAGGTCCCTCTGAAGCTCTCCTTGCCACCGAGCACGACCTAAACGCTCCAATATGCAGTAGGAGAAGTCAGGGAGCTTGAGGTCAGGGTCCCCCTCCCAGCCTATCAAAGCTCTGTAGCGCTGGTCCTGGGAAGCAACAATGACCAGTTTCTCTCCCCATCTAGGAAACAGAAAGGAAAAGAATATAAGATTGGTAGAGCCATAAAAACAGAGACATAAATTATTTATTCCCTCCCCCCTCCCAACAGTATTCTTGATAAAATCTGCACAAACTGAGTGAAAGGACAAGATTTTAAGTCACAGATCTTTCAATGCCAGGTTTAAGGATTTCACTCACTTTTCAACAGCTTCTGTGTAAGTATAACAGGGCTGCAAATCCTTCTTCCTTATTTGATCAGTGATATCTACTCTCTCTTTAAAATACTGGCAGGAACCTTGTATGCCATCCTTGTTATCCAGAATCATGTGGACAGGATAAATATCATCTGAAGAAACAGGATCTCTTTTGGTTTCCAGTATTCCCGTTTCAAGGTCTATTTCTTCATATCTGAAATAAAAGCAGAGAACCAACGTTTAACTGAGCAGTTTGGAAATCCAGGACCATAACAAGCAGTGCTGATGCCTCTACCCATCACTTTGGAAAAATTAAACTCTTTCAACACCTCAGAATTGAAAAAAAACACCCCAAAAAGCAGAGCTACAGTGCTCGAGAATGACCAGATCTGTCAGCTTGTATCAGTGTATGGGGCAGGAGGAGGGGAACACATTGTATGATCTTCAGATTCAAGGATATTGAAGTACTGGGGACAAAAAAACTGGTTCACAGACGAGGAAAACAACAAGTGCAGCCACCCTGATGAACTGCGACATATAAATTCTGCTTCTACCTAAGCGGTGATTAGAAGGAAAACCTGGCCAGGACTCCTAGAGATCTCCTCGACAGAGGCTTCCCAGCCGCCAGCCAGCACAGTCTGCCCGGCTCCGGGGCAGAGGCAGAGCCCTCCCCAGCGCCCTACGGTCACCCTGCCCGGTGGAAAGGGCTGAGGGGCGGCGGCCGGGGCTGCTCTCACCGGTCCTGCAGGCGGAGCGGCGGGCGCGGCCGCGAGCAGCGCCCACAGCGCCTCCATCCCCGCCGCCGCTTCCGCCGGCGCGCTGGAAGTGACGTCACCCGCGCGACGGTAACCAAGGAGACCGGCAAACCGGGGGCGCGGCCTGGCCCGGCCTGGCCTGATTGAGCCGCGGCACCCGCCGCTCTCTGGAGGGGGTTTTGCTCCCGGGTTTCTGCTGAGCTCGGTGCCTGCTGAAGCAAAGCGCAGGGCTCTGCTCCCTCGCTGGGGAGAGCTTGTCAGTTGAGCCCCAACGCCGCGTTACCTCAGCGCGGGAACAGGACAATGTTTTTGCAGAAATACTATGAAATAGGTAAGAGGCAACATAGAATGTTGCTTTTTTTTTTTTTTTCGCTACGAAACTAAAATGAAGTGTTTTAGTGGTAAGTTCAGACTTCTAAGTGTGTAAGGGGGAGACCTACCGCAAGTTGGAGCAACAGGTCTGGGATACGTGTGGGAACTGCTTGGAAAAGTTCACGTTCCCTGACAGGGAAGCAAGGCTAAACCTTTAATTAAACACTTGGGATGTATGCATCCTCTCAAATAAATACATTCTAGAATTAATTGACTGCCTGAGCAGTAGCAATTCACGAAAATAGTCCTCCCTATCAGCTTCTGCCCCTGAACTGACTTCCTTGTCGGCTCTTTGCTTGTAAACTCATTATAACACATGCCTTCTATTTTTAGTATTTTTAGGCTCTTCAGTACATTGTGAAGGGTTCCGAAAAATAAGTAAAACAAGTAATGTTTCCTCTGTTCTTCAGGAAATTTATTTACTATACTGAGAGTTTTATGCTTTGTTGAGGGACGGACTTTCCAGTTCGTAGCATTCTTGTCTACTGAGAGTGCTAACCCAGTGAAACTCTATAGTAAATAAGTTCTGTACTTCACTGTGACAATTATATTCTCTTTTTAGCTTTTTATTAAGGACATGGTGACTGACTTTGATGAAAAACATGATGAATACTTAATATCCCTTCAGCAGAGAAACCGGTAAGATAAGGAATCGTTACCACCATTGAGTAACTTGACCCCTCTGGTGTACTATCTAGAGTAGTATCTCATAGCAGCAGTTGTGAATATTAGTTTAAAAACTTGATTTTGATGCATAGTCTGACTTGCTGTGTCTTAAAGCATTCAGGTGATTCTTTTTTCCTCCCTTTGTTTGCTAAGTACATCAAAGTTGTTATTAATAGAGGAGATCACAATATTTCTTCAGCATACCTTAAAATATAGATTTATTAATAAAGCAGTTACTGTTTCCAGGGCTTTTCTTTATAGAGCAAGAGGTTCTAGAGTCAGAAGCAACAGTCAGCTCACACTGTGTGGGGATGTTGCTATGAGGCAAGATCTTGTCAGAAACGCAGGCAAAACTTGCTGAAGTTAATTGTGCGAAGTCAGGTTCTGTTAAGGAGGGAAATAAGGACATCTAGGTTGCTTTTGCAGACTTCAGTATCTTTCAGATATGTTTTAAACATTTATTTTTGTTCATGTGAACCTTTCTGCTTGAGTCCTTGTACCTACAAAGATGAATTCCACAGGTTAGTTCTGAAGGGTCTGTGGAACTTGCTGGAGTCTCTACCACAAGCAGTAACGTTTTTACTCAAATCCTGTAACAAATGGAATTGTTTGGTGAAAAGACAAAAAAAAAACAACTACAAAAGCCACAGCTGTGTTAGAAGAACAGCCAGTTTTTGTGTGAATAGTCTCCTAAAGAAGTTTTAGGAAAGAATAAAACCAGGTATTTAATGATTGAAACCAAGCTTTAAGTATCTGGCATCTCTAACTGCATAATTGATTGGGGCTCCCCCCTCAAGTTTCAAAATGCAATATTTTTATTTTTATTTTCTTACAAAGACCTCAACTATTTTTGAGCTTTCTGGAATTCTATGTAAAACTCTTAAATATTCTCAAGAAGAAATGCCAAGTGGAAGAAATAATGTGAAGTCATAGAATGGTATGGATTGGAAGGAACCTTAAAAATCATCTAGATCCAACCTAAATCTCCCCTCTGCCAGTGTTGATCCATTCCCCCTTGTTCCCTCACTACAAGCCCTTGTAAAAAGTGAAATGAGAAACAATGTAGAAAAAAAACTTCAGAGGAAAGAGGTTGGGTGAAACTCATACAAGGATTCCAGAACAGGACCTTGTCCTGGAAGCCACATTTTGAAGTGGTTGTTTGAACTTTGAACATAGTTTTAAGCTTTTTTGACATTGTGTGGTTTTGTATTTATTGCTAATCTGACCATATATGTCCTACCTAAGGATTAATTGTTTTCCTTTCTGCTTCAGGCTCCTGAGATGTCTGAAAAGGAGGGATCCCATACAAATCAAATTGGAGCAGTTGGAGCAAGGATTTTCTCTGTACCTGAATGGAGCTAATTCAGAGCGGAGAAAGCACCGCAGAAAAGCCATCTCACGTGCCTGCCTGAACAGTGAGGCAAAGACCACCAGGACAAACAGTGAGTTACATCAGAGTTTTACAGAGACTGCAGCCTAGAACTATTTTAAATTTTTACTCATCAGAGCTGTAATTCAGCTGGTGAGGTTACTGGTCAGGCTGTGATATGGAGAAAGCAGCATTTGACCTTGGTGGAACGGAATTCCACGGGACGCTTCCATAGGAGTATTTAAGCTGGGTGTATGTAAGGAATGGTCTCTGCAACACCCTATCCATTTCTCAGTTGATTCCTAGCTAATTCCAAACTTCAATTTCCTCGCCTCTCCATTTGTTAAACAATTATAACTGAAACTAGAGGATTAGAAATGTATATAAATTGCCAGTGTAAAATAGCAGTATATCTTTGTCTGATATATAAAACCATTAATAAGCTTTAAAATCTGATGGACTTCAATATTACCTGTCTGGTGTCCTGTAGATAAATGACAGTTGATGACATAGACTGTAATCAAATTATATCCAGTAATAGCTGCATTAAGCTCATAAATTATGTTTAAGCTATAACAGTCATCTTGAAAAGACAGCTAATCTTCATTTAAATATTTTAAGTGAAGAAACTCTACCATTTCTGCCAGTGATTGGCTGGCTGTATTTAAAATGTGTATTTTATTTCTAATTTAAGTCTGTCAATCATAGAGAGCAATGTAGTGACAGGAATAATTTTGCATATACGAAGGTATAAAGTAGGAGCTTACTGGCCTTCCAATCTATTTAGCATAATGAAAGGCAGGTTGATTTCCCAAAATCCCTGGGTACCAACCTTAGTCTGTTATCCTCCCCTGAGCTACAACCAGTCTGTCACAAGTATCTTTTTAAGCTGCTGCTGTGTAGATAGTATTTGCTTAAGCTTTTTTTTTTCCGCTTAAAATGAATACAGAGTTTAAAAAGTTACTGAATATGATAATCGATTATGATTGAAAGTTTATTAACCTCAACAATACTGGAAACTAACATTTCTGAAACGTTCAGGTAGATGAAGAGGGTATAGTTTTTGGCAGCAGCTGTAACAGAAGCCTGTCCAGAGGAATTTCCTCTTAAACTTCTGCTTGCAGCTGTCATCTGTAAGCTTAACCAAAGCTGTTTGGTTTTTGGTAATGGTCATTTACTGCCATTTGTTTCAGTTCAGGTTGAATACTTCAGCTTGTCTTTCAGACCTTCAAAGACTTCAGTGGCAGTCTCTGTTCCTTCCTCAGCTCCATCAACTTAGAGACAGTTGTATTTTCTCTGCAGAAGAGAACTCTCTTTTGCTGTTTCTTAGCTATCCAGTGTTGTTATTTTAAACACGTGTAGCTGCAGGGAAAGGTATCAACTAAATCTTCAGCCTGTCATTTTAATTCTTCCATTTGATTTTACCACTGGAATCCAAAGTGGGAGTCACTGGGGATCTGGATGAGCCTCTTGCCTGGGGGTAGTAACTTAGGAATTTTGTGGTCTGTTTCATTTCTAGGCATTTCTTCTCCATGATTGAATATGTTTTTACTTACAGAAATTATTTCTAGCTGAGATACAGCACTGAATTCTCTTCCTTCTCCATTTCCCATGAGAGTTATTGCATCATTTATTACTCCTAAAGCATCCAATCCAATCTATAGGATTGCTCTTCACTGCAAAATTAGGAATGCGTAATACTTAATAACACAGAGTGGGCACAAATCCCTCTTTGTGCTTCCTAAAGGTGTCATCATAAATCTGTTTGTCTGGACTATTTTCTTTGTCTATGTTCCCTCAGAGTAATTAATGATAATAGTGATGGATAAACTTTTTACACTGAGGCTTGATCACTGAGTTCAAATAAGGAAATGAAACTGGTCTCTAGGTACTCTGTCCTTTCTTTGGGTGTATAACCCAGATGTAGGTTCACAAGCAAGTGGCTTAAGGGTGTCATGGAGTCGTCTTTGAATATGACTAGTATTTTGATAATATACTACTCAGTTCTTGGCCACTAGAACAGGCATAGTCATCTCAGGTCTTCAAGGTACACCAATGGGCCTATTTTGTGTGCCCAAACATGTAATGGTTGGTATTCACATCCCAAGAGAAGGATGTTTTTGTTCTAAAGTGATGTTTGTAGCTCATCTGCATCAGCTTCTGCCTGGATTTGAATTACTATTTTTCCTGGTTTAGAGAGACCTGGTCACATGAATCTATCACAAAAAACTCAATTCCAAGAACCAAATACTCAGCAGTGGTAGCATAAGTCCTACCTGCCCCCTTGTCCTACTGACATTTGAGAGGCCTTCTGGGCAGTTGCTTAGAAGTGATGGGCTGCTTAGGAAGTGGAAGTGAAAGATGCTTCCAGTTCTGTCCCAAAGCATTGCCTGAATCAGACCATGCTTCTTGCATTGTCATATCAAGAAAGTTCACCCTCAGTGCCAGCAGAGCCTCATAGTAATCAGCACCAGTGCTAACAAGTGCCAAAGTATTTCTGGAGTTCTTTAGGAATAGCCTGATGGAGCAGCAGGAGCTCTAGTTGGAAGGGCTGTTTGCCAAACAAGGTATTACAGATCTTGTTTATACCATGGAGCAGACCTTTACTTTTCTCCTCTGTTCTTACTCCTGTTTCAGGCCTAAGAGGCAGATACTTTGTGCTGAAGCAATTGAACAACATCTTGTTCTTGCTCTGTTGTTTTATGATCACTCTGAACTGACATAAGCATATCCTGTTCTACCAACATGGTCCTACCCTGTGCCTGTTCTGCCTACCTGCTTGTACCAGCCTTTGTGCAATCTCATGGTGAACCAGATTGCACAAGTGACTACAATTAAAAGCAATCTTTCTTTTAGTTGTTCCTCAGTTATTGAGAGTTGTAATGAGCAACCTGATCTAATTTAGAAGCAAGCCTGGCTTTGAATGGAAAGTTGGACTAGGTGACCTACAGAGGTTCATTCCAAACTAAATCTTTTTGTGATTCTGTGACCTTTGCAGGACAACTCTGCTTCTTTTATTGGTAGTGCCAGTATCTCCTGGCTTAGGGTGACCATTAAATTATGGCTTAAAGAAAAGAGGTTTTGCATCAGCTGTTTTTTCTCCACTGAGAAAAAATGGAAGCTGTAAATCTGTCTTGGATATAGGAAATGAGGTGCCTTTATTTAGGATGCTATTTGGAGTGTTGGTGATGTCCTTGCTCCATTAAGGATGCTAGTGTGACCTGGTGTTTGTCTGTTTGTTGAAATCAAAATATCCTCTCAAAGATCCATTGTTTGAGCCTTTTGTTCTGCTTGACCATACATAGAATTTTTGCAGAAGTTCTGGAACCAACTCTTTCTTCCCTTAGATATGAAGGAAAATGACTGTCCTTAATTTATGACTTGTAAATGAAGAATCCTTCTCTGCACAGTGTCTTAAATACCTAATACACTCTTTTCAGTCTGCTCATACCTTGCATTTGCTTAGTTTGAGAGTAAATATACACAATTCTTTTGTAAACTCAGCATATCTCCTGTTGTTCCCTGGGACCCTGTCCATCAGAGTCTGCCTTCAGTAGTGTTGGCTCTGGGCTCAGCTGGCTTTCTAAGACAGCTCACTGCCTGCCCAGCTGGGAGTGAGAATGGTGTGCACCCCTCTTCTAGAATACATTTCTGTACTTTCAAATCAATTAATGTGGGGCTTCACTGGCTCTTAAGCTAGTGTATCTTTAGGTAATTTATTCCCTTGGATATACCTGCTGATGACTGTCCCTGAAGAGGTTCAAAACTCCTGCTACTAATACACAGCCAGCATTAGGAGTGGAATCAGGTCTTTTCAGTTGTTGATACCATTCCTATTTCAAAGACTTACTCTTCTGTCCTCATCTGGAGAAAACAAAAGAATGTGAACTAAGGTGTATATTGCCAAATACTGCATTTCTATTTTCTGTCTTCTAATTCTTGTCTCTCTGTTCTGGAAAAGCAGCCCAGCTAGAAGAGTTGCAAGAACGTAGCAGACAGACCGCACCAAGCAAAACACAGCGCAGAGGTTGGCTGCAGGTGAGAGGCAGCTTCAGAAAAATACATTTTTGAGTTAATTATTAGATTGTAAACAGAGAAATTGCTTGCAACTAGTAGATCATGGGTAGTGTCAGGACTCTTACAGACTCTGAGTCTTGTCCCATCAGTGAGCAGAAATACTCCGGACTGGAGTCCCAGCAATATGAGCATCTCCAGCAGAGCACCTTTGCTTGTTGGCTTCTCAGTCACATGTCTAGAAATAGCCTAGATTTATTGAGCCCTGCTGTGTTGTCTTTCCAGCAGATACCACGGTTTTTAAAGTAGCCCATAATGATCAGGGTCTTTGAACTTGTTCAACTAGGTTGTTTGGGTTTTTTTGTTGTTCTTCCTGATGAGCAGGTCTATAGCAGCTACCCACAATGACCAGCACTCACACTGGTCTGACCAGCATGATCAATGAGGTCATAGCCTTGTAACCGGATACAAGTTTCTAATCCCTCCTGTTCATTCCCCATGTGTTTGTTCTCCCTCACTGTAGATGCATTTCAGAGAGGAATCCAAGCATGTTGGTTCCATGCGTAGTCTCAAGTTGCACCAGGGAAGGTTTAGATTTCATGTTAGAAGAAACTCTTTCACTGAAAGGATAATTAACCACTGGAAGAGGCTGCCCAGGGACGTGGTTGAATCACCATCCCTGTAGGTGTTTAGGAACATGGTTTAAGCACTGGATTTGGTAGACTTAGGTTAATGGTTGGTAGAGTTAGGTTATGGTTGGACTCTATGATCTTAAAGGTCTTTTCCAACCAGAACAATTCTGTGATTCCCCAGAAGAGGCTTGAGTTCATTTGCCATAAGGCTGTTATGGCACTTCTTTACTTCCCTCCAGTGGTTTTGTTGATTGCTCTGTCCCTACTCCTATTGTTTTTTCACTTACTGGGTGAGGTGAGGGTGTGAGTCCTGATGGACACTCACTTTGGTGCCAAATGCTGAGCCTGACCCACTCTGGGGACAGCAGCAGTAGTTGGGGAGTGTGACTGGGACAATTAAACCATAATGCAAGGGCCTCAAGGTGAGCTGAAAGATAACAGAAAACTTCCATGGAACAAAGGGAAAAAGTTGCTTGATCTAGATATTGTTATGTAAAATGTGATGATTATTCTTTTTGTACTGCTGAAAGCACACACAAAAAAAGTCTTTACTTCCTTGAATGCTTTTTTTTAACAGAAAACTGTGGAGATTAAAACAGAAACGGGGTCTAAACTCCGCATCAAACCTCCTTGTGAGTACTCTGAGGATTTTGAACCTTATGAAAGCTTGAGTGTGGAGACAAATGGTGACACTCCTCTGCACCACCCCCAGGTACAACTGGCGTTTGCCTTTTGTTGTGCGTGGCAGTGTCAGCTGCGGTGTGAACAGGCTCAGGTGTCACTCCCGACCCCGAGCAGCAGACCCAAGCGTACAGCGTTTCTTTCACTAGAAGCTTTCACATGGATGAGTTACAACCTGAGGAGAAACAAAATCACGTCAGTGGCAGTATGTGAAGCCCTGAATTCAGGAGGGAGGCTGGTGTAGGACGGAGGCACCGACCCCGGGTCCAGCTGCAGCAGCGGCCCCGCTGAGGGCCTTCCCGCCCTTCCCGCGGCGCCTGAGGGGGAACGTGTCGGGTAAAAGGGGCAGAAAACGGGGCCCGGGAGCCGGGACTGAGCAAAACGGGGAGAAACAAGCCCGGCCAGCCCCCAGGGGAGAGCAGGAGGAGGTCTCCTCGGCAGGAATGGTGCTGCATTCCCGGGAGAGATCCCGGCGGGGCAGGCGTGTTCCTGCAGCCCCTGGGGAAGGCTCCAGGCTAGAGCAGGGAAAAAAATGAGGAGAAAAGAGCAGTGGAGAAATTAGGAGCTGTTGTGGGCTGACTGCAGCCCCCCATTCTCCATCCCCTTGCTTTCAGTGGGAAGAGGTAGAGGAGTCAAGGATGGAAGAGGGAGGTAACTCTTCCGGTTCACTTCGTGGTTGTCCCCATGAATGTCCCTCCTGGCTGTCAGGTTACAGAAAGCTTCAACAGCTTTGTCTGGTTTTAGGTTAGTTTCTGAATAATAAGTGCTGAAATTGTTGCATGTCATTTTGTTACCGAGCAAAAGTCAGAGTAAAGTTTTAAAAATGCAATCAGCATAGTTGCTTTCCATCAAGGGTTGTTACTGTTCTGACTCAGTTGTTAGACAGTTCAGTCTTCCATTTGGTTAGTTACTGCAGTTTGTTCTAGCATGCTTCACAAATTCCTTGTCCTTAAAAAAATGAATAAATGAACAAAAATTGTGAATGATTTTCTGCCTAACCAATTAATGACATTATTTAAGCTTTTCTGGGTATTAGAATAACAAGTATCTATGAAACTGTCTACAGATCTTGTCACTGACATCAGATAACTTTCCAAGCATTTTTCCCTAGCTTGCATCTTTCTGCCTTTCCTATATTGCTTTGGAGCTTGGGATTTTTTTTTCTCTACAAACCAGCAACTTGTTTACAGCAACGGATGTCTATAGTAATTTTTGTGAAAGTGGTAAGCTAATAATTTTAAACCAAACCCCTACTTTTGTTTGTATCCCAGATGGAATTACTTTTGGCTTTCCTGAAGCCATAATGTGTTTTCTTGAATGTCTTGTTGCAAAGCAGATGTCATGAGGTTTCAAGCTGAAAAAAAAGATTGTACAATTCCTTGTCAAAGAGCTAGAAGTATTAGTCCTGACTGTGATAAAGACATGCTCAGTATCTAGCCTCAGGTTCCTTATAGACCCTCTTTTGAACCTCAGTTTGCCTGCTTTTTGCAATATGTTTCTGTCACCATGGAATTCCTGACAAGTGTAATCTGTAGCAGAAGAGCAGCTTGAAGCTTTCATTGCAAGCCAAACATGCTGTCACAGTTCATTTGTACCTAAGACAGCTTCAGGTTTTCATTTTACTCATACAGTTTGCTTACAGATACTTACCTTAAAACTGTAATACCAACAACTAGGGAAAAAAGACATTTAAGATCTCCAAGGCCTTTTTCAGTCATAAAACTGAAGCTCTCTAGCATCATATGTGCTGTTTGTGTCATATGCTGAGAGAAGTAGGGCATTTTTTTCTGCAGTACGTTTGAAAATAGATTACTTTTTGCATAAAAACCTGTTGCAATGTGTCCAATTAAAAAAAACCTCTGTGCAAATTGGAAGCTTAGTCTACGAGAGCACATCACTTTTCTACTGTCTTTTGAAGTATAGATATGTACAAGACAGGACTGTAATCATCTATCCATTTACTTAAAAGTTGCTGTTACATTATCTTTGCAGTCTCACAAAGGCATTTAGACAATCTGGATTGCAACTGGTCTTTAAATGTCAAACCAAAAAGTATTGTCATCTGTGTGAACCTGGAAAAATATATCCCCTTGCCCTTTCTATTGCTTATCTCCTGTTTGTAACTTATTCCTGAAAACTGGTTTTGCACATAAAAATCCCTTGGCTTACTGTGAGGAACAGAGGAACCATAGGATGTTTTTTCTTTACAAATCCTCATCAGAGGAGTGAAGATAAGATATAGGAATCTGAATTTTTTTAGCTGCCTCGTGTGTCTTGAGTTAATGAGGTTTTCTTTCTCCGAGGGAAGGAAGAAGCAGCTACGTTGCTTAATTTTGAAGTACATGTTTGAGCTTTTCTGATAAATCTGTTTGAATTTTAGCAGAAATTGAGAAGAAGCTTGCAACTCAGTGTGGAAGAGAAAAGGATGGAAGAAGATACTCTTAGTGATGATTCTGGCTCTGTTGAAGAGGATGTGTTTTCAGAACAGTCTTCTACTGAGGAAACCATTGCAAGCTTTGGAGGTTTCCAGCTGCATAGCAGTAGATCAGTGCAGAAAGAAACTTCTGAACATCAGGATGCTGGGGGTTGCTCTCGCCTTGCTTCTGGTGCCCTTACTGTGTTGGGGTTCAACCAGGATCAGCATAGTAAGTCTCTGTGTATGATCCACTGCTACAGTATTGTAATAACTCTTTGAGAGCATTATTTTAAGGGAATGGCTGCTGGTTAATCATAATCAACTTAATACTCTCATGAGTGTTCATGCTGTTCAGCAAACCTGTTGTTTTAATCTCCTGATTTGGGAGACTTGCATCCTCTCACTACTATGTTAAATATTTTGCAAAGACCAAGAGATGGCCCTGGTTAATGTGCTTGGATCACCAGGCAGAGATACTTGAACTAAGATTGTCTCAATGTCTGTGAGATTTCTCAAGAGATTATTTGTTTAGTATGTTTTTGAACTGGTTTTGCATTGATCCAGGCAGCCAAATCTTCCCAGTCTCTACTTCTTTCATTTCATGTTGTGGGTACTGGATACCTATAATCAAAGCATGTGCTCCTCCTCCCTGATTAAAGATATATTAATTAGAGAAAACAAATGTATCTGGCTATGAGCAATTTTTTTGTCAGGTCTTCTCCTTTGGAGACCTCAATAACTTCCAACTTTGGGCAGAAATCAGACTTGTACCTACATTTAGTATTTCTCAGAATTCCCTCCCCACCCATTTCAGGTACATTAATTGGTTTCAGTTTTTTGTTTTGTTTTCTTTTCCTCATTAATTACTTAACTTCAGAGGAACAACCTTGAAACAAATTGAGTAAAGGAGTGTTCCTTATTACCAGGGGATGGGGGGAGTGGGAATGGGAGATGACAGGAGATAGGAACAAGGGATGGAGCAGCAGTGAGAACAAGATCTTTGGGAGAGTACATGATTATTATTTTCCACAGAGAAGTTTCAAAGCTGTGATGCAAACACTGGAGGTATTAATTCTCAAATTAAAAAAGTGAAGAAAACTCTTATGAACTACACTAGGCAACCTGCTTCCCCTTTGAAGCTTCTAAAGAAGACAAGATTTTAGTCTGTATTTTAAGAATTTATTTTGGTAGAACTATGTTAATAAGTGACTCAGGACTTCTGGATTTTTTTTTGCTTTTTTTGATGGTAGTGCAGGTAAATACCTGGTACAGATGAGGTCTGGTACCTCATCATGATATATTTTATTTTGTTTCACTAAGTCAGTGCAAGCCACGTGTTTGTACTCCTACCTCAACAGAACAGTATCAATAGCAGGGAGGGAAGATGGAGGCTGTCACTTTTACTATGTCAGCATAATTAAAGTGGAAAAATTTTAGTCTGTAAGATCCAGTAAATTTTGCCTGGCTCGTTGCTCCTAAGTATCTCTGAAGTTGATTATTTTTGTTCCCTTATTATTTTGCAGAAGTGAAGCCACCCCGAATTCTCTCAGCAAAACGGAAAGATAATGCTGAAATGTACATTCCTGTCAGACCAGTCATGGTAAAAAATAAAACCACTCGACCACTCTCTGCTGAGTTCTTGCAGCAGGAAAGACATGAAAGAGTTTGTTCTAGTAAGAAATAAGAATACATATGTATTGTCAATAAGGAGAGTTTTCATGCTTTTTGCCCCTCTGGCTCAGATGTAATTTCAGTGCACATCTGTCATTATGTGATTTTCCTTAACTGTTCTCCCTTTTAAAAAATGTTTTGTTGTTGTTGGTTTTTTTTGTCAGGCTTTTTGATATTGTTTTTACCACTTCAGTGTTTCTACCATCTGCTTGTGAGACAGTCCAGAGCCTATATACTTTTAGTCTTTGGCTACATCTTTACTACCGTTCTTCTCTTTCTGCTTCCACAGCATAAGATTTTTTCCTCTCCCTTTCAGTCCTTGTGCTTGCTCTGTTCCTTGCCTTCCTCATGGAAAAGGGAACTGACTTCCCTCTGGTACTAACTGAAGTATCTTCTCAAAAGCAGTGACTGATGGCTTGGTGGAAGATGCTAACACAATGCATTCTAACTGTCAAGGCATGATTTTCCACGGCAGATCAGAACGAGCTCTGTTGCTTCTTGAGTCTGAACTTGAATTACACCTTGAATGCTGCAGATCAGTCTCCAGTGCTGAGTAGACACACCAGTATCTAGTATCATACTGGAAAATATTTTTCACAGACTGGAGAATACCATTTTGAAGGCACTGCTGTTTGTTGTAGGGATCTGCATGCTAAGATGTGATCTTTACCTGGGCTAAAAGAAACAGCCCCCAAATTTAGGGGCTGAAATCATGGCTTTGTTTTCTATTTCAGCACAGTCCTTAATTGAACAAGTTTGATGAATTTGAGTTTTCTAAGGTCTTAAATGAAGTTTTCAGTTTTACCATACCCTGTGGTTAAGACACTTCAGAAAAGCAAAATCCAAGTAAGCAATAAAGCTAATGGTTTTGAAAAGTCAAAATAATAGTTTTTTAATTGGCAGAAAATCAAATGAATTGAGGAGAAGAAGCAAAGTCTGGCTCCAGAATAAATCCTCTTTGTAGCTTGTGAGACCCTCACCCACCATCTGTCTGAGCAGATGCCTGCTTTGATTGTTTTCCGAAGATGTCTGTAGCATTTTCTCAGGTTGTAATAGTGCTTGTTAGAAATGTTTCTGTCCAACTATCACTTTAATCCTTAATTTCATTTCACAGGGATGGTAGGTATAAGAAAAATAAGACTTCCTCTGTCCCTGTATATGCAGAGATGACAAATGCTTGATGGAAGTTATAATGAGTGAAGGTGATGTGGGGATTAGGCCATGAATGCACCCAAATCTCATTTCAGTTTTAACTTTCCAACTTTTCAGAGTAGAGTTCATGTTATGAGCTTCCATTGCCATTTTACTCTCCTGCTTAGTAGACCTCACTGCAGCACTATTCTGCAGTATTTTCACTTGATTTTAATTTCTATACATCTTCAAAAGTCAAAGGAAGAAAAGAGACTGAAGCCCTTAAAATATAAGTACTTTGCTTTTCTTTTGAATATAACCAGTGTGCTTCTCAGATCCTCTATTCTTTATTTCCATTAAAATCTGAACAAAGCCAGTACAGAAAATCTCAAAGCATAAAAATTGTATTCCTAATTTTTCAGTTTTCCTCCTCTTATGATACTGTTTCAGCTGTTGTCTGAAGTAGATGTGACCTGGAATCTTAGTATAAAAACAAACTGGAGTATTTTGGGCTCACTTGGGATGGTTACAAGAGCATGTTTGAAACATCTGATTTAGTTACTGACACAGAACTTTGCTAGCAGTCTGTAATGTTCCATACTTAAATGCCCAGAAAAATTAATATTCCTTCCTTCTTTTGGTGGCAGGACCATTAAGTCAACCAGAAAGATCACTTTCAGCAGCTCGAAAGACTCTGTGTGAGAAGGATCCTGATCTCTCTGTTTCAGCTGTCATTAAGGCAATGCAAATGGAAAATGAAATCCTGCAGAGACAGCTGCGGAGGCAGAGAACTTCCACAGGCCCTCAGAAGGTACAGCAACACACAGAGGGGCTGTTCCATCACCTAGCAATGCCCCATGAATTGCAGTCTCTTACACATTAAGATTGTGTTTGAATGAGTGGTGATGCCTCTTTAAGTGTAATTTAATTTCAGTTATTCTTCCATAGGGTGGTTTTCTTTCATCTGCTTCCACAGCATAGCATCCCACAGCTCTCTCCTGATTTCAGGGATCACTGAGCAGCTGATAGACCAGTCACATGATATGTCTTTACATTCACAGCTGTAGGGCTGTTAGAGCCATTTGCATTCTGGAAGTTCCTTAAAATAATGTGTGATTTCCATGCCAATAAATCCTACCTTCCTACTGAAGTCATTAATATGGGCACTGTTCCTGTTCATACCTGCCCTGCTCTTGGAGCAGAGCTGTCATGTGCACTGCTGACTCCTAGTGAGGAGGAGCTAGCAGGGCTTTTTTGTACTGGTGTGTGTACATCTCTTATCTCCAAAACCCACGTTTAAAAGCTATTAAAAACTCATGAACAAGCAAATCAACAAAAATCCATTCCCTTTTGATTCATGTCAGACTGTTATTCCTTGTTAAAGAATAAGGAGGTGTGCCTTGACTAAACTTTGAGCATTATGAATACCTCAGTTCTCCTAACAAACAGAAAGAAGATAAAGGAATCTGAGCATAAGCTGATTTTTATGAAATTATCTGTTATGGACAGTGTTCAAGGACTCAAAGTCTGCTTCCAGTTGATGTTTAAGAGACTTCTTTCTATAGGAAGGAAAAGAGACATGCCTAGACATTCTTGGAGTTACTAATTTGAATTCTGAAAGTTTCCAAGACAGCTGACTATTTCAACCTAAGCTGGTGCTCCCTGAAGTTGTGAGTTGATGTTATGGTGACTATGTCCCTCCTGTCATCACTGAGCCAACTTCACATTTCTGGGGAGTTTTGGTTAGGAGCAAAGGTTAAAACTGTTTGTATATTACAGGCTATACTGTACTATACATATGATTTCACTATCTAGGTCAAGTTTTCAATCTTATTCCTCTTGTTTTTGAGATATTTATAGCTTTATGATGGAGAGAACAAATTCCATTGAATATTCTCACATAATGTATCTTTCTGCTAACATTAGGACTAATTTTAACATTGTTGTGCTTAAGTGAAAAATAATGAAATAATACTTCAAATAGATGTAATTCTGTGCTGACACTTGAGATGGAGTTTCAAAAAACCTCTGAGTTCTCAGTCTTCAAGCTGACCTAAATAATTTTTCAGAAGTAATTTAATTTTGCAATTTAATTTACTTATACATTTAAAGAATTGTGGAACTTGGACTTTGATATTTAATTTTATTACAATGGAGGATTTTTAATACTAAAAAAGTAATTACCTTCTAAGCATTGTAAAGTTCTCTTACTCTTCAAAAATCACAGAAATGGCTGTGACCTAAGAACAGGACTGCCATTCTTCATCTGTCTAGTTCACTGTGCTGAGTATCCTGACTCTGACAGAAGCTACAAACAAATTTTTGAGAAAAATAACAAAGGGAGCAGATTATACTTTAAAAAGCAAGGTACAGGCAGAGAAAAAGCCTGTAGCATTGTAAGACCTGAAGGACTTTTCCTCTGTTTTCTCTTAGCTAGGCACTACTGAGAGTCCTATATTAAAAAAATAAATCTGGGTGAGCAAAGAGCCTCTGGACACAGTTAAATGTAAAAACAAGGTACACAGAGTTTGAAGGAGGGCCAGGTATCTTGGGGGGAGTATAGATAAGCGGTCAGAGAAGCAAGGGGTGGGGTAAGGAAGGCCAAAACATGGAGTGATTTGAACCTGGCATGGGATGTTAAGAACAACAAGAAAGTATGTCAGCAATGAGAGGAAGACAAGGGAAACTGTGGGCCTGCTTCAGAAGAAAACTGTAAACTTTGCCATGCAGGACATAGAGAAGGCTGATGTGCTCAGTGACTGCTTTGCCTCAGTCTTCACTGGTAAAGGCTCTGGTCACACCATCCAAGTTAGAGAAGGCAAAGGCATGGACTGTAAAATGGAAGATCTCCCCACTGTAGGAGAAGAGCAGGTCTGTGACTATCTGAAGGTGTACAAGTCCATGGGACCTGACTGGATTCATACACAGCACTTGAAGGAACTGGCTGAGGAAGTTGCAGAGCCTCTGTCCATCATATTTGAAAAGTCTTGGCAGTCTGGAGAAATCCTGACTGGAAAAAGGGAAACATAACTCCCATTTTCAAGATGGGGAAAAAAGGAAGACCCAGAGAACTATAGACCAGTCAGTCTCATCTCCGAGCCTAGCAAGGTTATGGAACAGCTCCTCCTGGAGGCTCTACTAAGGCATGTGGAAAACCAAGGGGTGATTGGTGACAGCCAACAGAGCTTCACCACGGCTAAATCCTGCCTGGCTAACTTAGTGGCCTTTTACAATGGGGTCATGGCATCAGTGGACAGAGGAAGATCAACTAAAGTCACCTACTTGGACCTGTGCAAAGGCTTTGATGCTGTTCTGCATGACATCCTGGTATCAAAACTGTAACAGTATGGATTGGGTGGATGGACCACTTGTTGGGTAAGGAACTGCCTGGATGGTTGCACTCAAAGAGTGCAAGAGCTCAAAGAGCTCCAAGCTCAGCTCTTTCATTGAAAATCAAGACTAGTTCTGTTAAATGGACTTCATGTAAGTACAGAGTTAGAGTTTAGCTAAGGTTAGCAGAGATCAGAGCTGGGCCCAAACTCATATTTATTCCAGAGATGCAGACTGCTACTCTCTGGTATGTAGAGAACAATGTGAATGAAACTTGTTCATCTTTGTCTTACATAGAAGGAATTTTCTGTCGTTACTTCTGCAATGGCTGAACCCCCAGAAGAAGACCAGGCAAGGACTGCAGTCACCAAAGCTATTGAGAGCTTTTGTCCTTTTGGAAGCAGGTATGTACATTTCCTTTAAGGGTAGCTTCCTTTCTGGAAGGAGTATTTTCCAGTACAGTGCCAGGTGTAGTGTGATACCACTATACCTGATCATCTTTAGATACCTGAGGTATCATGCCAGTGGTAGCAAATCAGGGAGAAGGTTCCAGCCTTCAGGCCAGACTCTGTAAATCAGGGAACTGTCAACATCTCCCTCTGCTTGTCTGTTTATTACCTTTATACTACGTCCTCAGACTGCCTCAGAACCAGCACAGAGCTGGAGCCCAGTCTTTTAACCAAACTCAGTGAATCTAAGGTGGGATGCTGCAACAGTTGTCATTCAGTGTGGGGGTACATGGGATTCTTCTGGGGGGTATGTGTGTTAATCCTGTCATCTCTTCACCAACAAATCTACTTCTAAAAAATGCAAGAATTGTGAGGAAATAACACATAAATGGTTGTGTATGTTTCAGACAACAGAAGAAACTTGTGAAAGTTCTTCAGGAGCCTGAGAGCCGTTCTGCCTGTGATAATGACTTGGTCCTCTCTGATGACAAAGCTGAGATAGATTCTGTGTTGCGAGAGAAGGTTTGTGTTTTTAGGCACTGTAACTGTTGCTTCCCAGTGTTACTGAAATAAAAATGCAATGAATAATCTGTAGGCCACTGGTTCTGCCCATGCCAACTAAATACCCTGGCAGGGTAAGAGAAGAGAATGTTCCGCTTTCTTTTGTTGATCAGGATGACAAAGGAATCTGACAAAGAATGGAAAGCTGTTTTCTCCTTATGCTTTAGGGTCACTGGAATCTAGAAGGGTGCTAAGATATCTTCTTTTACCTTGCCTTAGATTTTCTGCCCCACTTCATGTGGGGCACAATCAGTGAAACCCAGAGTGATTGAATGTCATCCAGATAGCCTTGAGTTTACGAGCTTTTTGCATCTGACTCAACAGTATTTTAGTCTTAAAAATCTTTATTTTTTTTCCACATTTTATTGTTTTATCACTTATGTTTATACCATATTTCATTTTGGTCCAGGTGACAACCACTATGGAAGTATGTGATGCCATTTATGTGACTATGGAACTTCTTTCTAACTGGGGAGATCCAATGCATGTGGGTCTGAGCAAGGTGGAATTCTTTGATTTATGCAACAAAAAGATATTTGTGTCTCCTCATGATGTGGACATTCGAAATGCTGACAGCCCAGGGGATTTGTGCTGCTTGGTCAATAACAGCTTCAAAGTAAGACAGCTTAGTCCTGGATGTGAAAATTTCTCATTAGAAAATTTCTTTAATATTCCATCCCTAGCTTTTTGTTTAGAAACATGATTGCATTTGGAACCTGACTTGCATAACAACTATCTGATCATTGAAGAATAGAAATATTTCTACAGTATGTCTGCCGAGAACCTGAAGTAATTATTGTGATCTGAAGGTGTGAGAGCTTGCTGACTTCTTCCAGATATTAAGAATTTAGGTAAACTGAGGAAGAATACATGCTTATTTTCTCCTGTCCCCTTGTTATCCTTTTACTTAGGGAAGAATTACAGAAGAATGTGTAGGTGGGTAGTTTTGAACAAAAGATACAGAAAAATGCGTGGCATGGTAGAAGTATTTAATGGCTTTTCTGTGAGACAGTAAGATGAGGAGACATAGAGCCCTTACATACTAAAGAAAGTGGGCAAAAGACAAGAACAAGAGTGAAAACCTTATCTACTGCTGAAGAGGTTAGCAAATGTCCACAGCCCTTCATACAGCTGTAATTTCACTTGTGCTGCACATTCACTGTGTGTTCTTTGCTCCATGGGCCTTCAGAACTAGGATTCTAGTAAGAATTAATGTGATTTTAGTGGATGAGAATACTAAATGACTGCCTTAGTATATTAAAAATATAATTTATAAGTCATTTCATGCTAGTGGTACTTTTCTGCTGGCAGGGTGAACGGGAATAGAAAGAGAGCAAATATGCAACGTTTTGAAATTTAGTTGAAAATCAGTATGGAGTATGATTTCCAAACAAGTATTTTTACTTGAAACATCTTTCTTAGTGTCTCTTGAAAGCTGCAGTTTGGATGTCATATTTACCCATTCTCCTATATAGGCTGTGCTCTGTGGCAGGTAACACTCACTAGTAGCAGTAACTCCAAACTTTCTAGATAATTATAAATTATGTAGTAATTTATTAATGAATCCATTACAAAGCTGTTATTCTCAGCATTTTTCATGTATTTATATGTCCCATTATTCTTAAGTAATGAGGTTTTGTGTTTCATTGATTAATATATCCCTTTGATTTGTGACACTGTGATCTCCTCTCATGAAGCTGAAAGGTGGTGTTGCATCAGGGAAGATGCAATCTGGACAGGGAGTATGACCTTAGAGTCTAGGTATATAACAGGGCTGCAACTCCTTCAGCAGCATTTCCAGTTTGTGTAAATTTCAGATCATACAAGAAAGTTTTTGGGTGCACTAGAAAAAAAACTCAATGAATGAATCTCCAAGCAACTGATATTTTCAACAGAATGAAAACTTACAAAAACTTACTGTGTGGAAAACTCACTTTACCATGGTTAAGGGGTATTATTTAGGTGTACCTTTGTCTTTGAGAATAGGCATGTGCTTATGCATAGGAATTTTATTAGTTTATTGATTATCTAAGTTCACACCAGAACCTGTTTATTTCTAGGGCATTAGGTCTGGATTGGAGAGGTCTGGAGGTGGATTGCTCATCAGATGTTGTCTGCTGTTAGGGAATAATTTTTTTAGGCATTCTCATTCAGAGTATGACCTCATAACATGATTTAGATTAGAAGTTGATCCTGAAATTGGGTTCACACTGGTTTGAAGGCTGTCCTTAATTTCTTTGATGCTGAGAGGCTTTCTTTTTTTATATAGAAAGGATTAAACCTGACTGGTACTCTTACAGCTGTTTATGTCCCAAACTGATATTCAAAGTAATAACTGTTCCCCAAAGGCCTTGGAGAGCCCTCTGAGGCAGAGACACAGTGAACTGTCAGAACTTGAAATACAAAGATGACCGCTCTGAGAAGTGTCTCTGTTCATGATGTCTGTGAACAGACTGGCAGAGCTCTGTCCTTACCAGCATTAGGCACACACCTGAAGTACTGAGAAGGAAAGTTTTGTAGTCACTACCTTCAGGAAAAACTGAAAGACTCACTTCAAATTAAAGGATATGTTAAAATACTGACTGTGTGTACTTACTGTGTGACTATATGTACTGTGTATCTTTGAAAACAGAAAGGGAGCTAATTTTCTACTTATCTCAGGTCACTGAAATGTTATCCGCATGGATTTTTACTTTGTGCCCTCATTTGTTTCTGTTTTCGAGTAACATTCAATATTGAGTATATTAATATTCAGCATTTTGATTTTGAAACTCTTTGCTTCTTTCTGAGCTGCCACACATCTTTTTATTCCATTTCTGAACATGTAGAGGTAACAATTCTAAAGAATGTCCAGAATTAGGCATTCTTTGGTGCTTTAAAATGTCTTGATTGTCAGTTGTCTGTAGAGTTCATGTTGGGAGTTTCTGTGTTGCCTTAGAAAATTCTGAGTATAGAGTCCTAAATATAGCTCTGAGGAATAGATCTGTAAGTGAATTAGTTGTCTGCAAAGCCTGATTAAGTAGAGGTAGTGAAATAAAATTCTCTAAGATTCCCCTCTTTAGCGTGCGGAACAGAAGTGTAAGCACTTTATGAAATCACAGAGTGATTATTCAGTGTCCATTGTGCTCTGTGATCCTCTATTGCCTGCAAAGCTGATTAATTTGGTTAAAATAAACTGGACTTGCTCTGACCCTGCATTACAAAGCATGGCAGGCTGCTTGTCATTTGGGAGCGTGCATATATCTTACTGGGACAGCAGCAGCTGACCTTTATCTAATTGGCAGGCTGTGGTGAGCTGTCTGACAGGCAGGAGAGGCGGATTTACTGGTTGGAAATGAGGTTAAGGTTTGGCTCTTAACGTAGTTGATTTGGTGAAATGGTGACTTTTCTAATCTATGTATATTTAGCAGTGGGGTGGTAAGTTAATTAAAATATCCTGCTTTAGGAAAGACAGTTTTAGTGACAGTCTGCTTGTTCATGTTTTTAGACCACAAGGGAAAGGCTTTGGATGTGCCCTTTCCATCCGCCCATCCAACTTTACTTTGTTATCCGCAATCCCACCCGGTCACGTGACTTTGGTATATCCAAGATCAAGATCTGGAATTACAACACAACAACTCCCAGTGTAAGTAGTCTTTTCTCATCTCCTCTGTATGTATGCTCTACCTTGCCTAGGGAACCTCAGTTTGATCTTCTTTCCAAATGCGGGTAATAAAAGTAGATGCAATTTTCTTAATAAAATAGGGAGCTAGGAGGGTTCCATGGCTGCTGTGAAATTTGCTTTTGTCTTGATTGTAAGTGGGGAGCAATATAATGTTTTCTTTGGCACAATGAGCATTTTCTTCCAAAGCTACTAAAGTTCTCAAAAGACCTTGCAAAATGCTTGCAAATTCTGTCAGTTAATCCTTTACTGTGGTGAGAAAAAGATATAAAGGTAAGTTCATCTTAATATTTAGGACTTCCAGCTGTTTTATCACAATATAAATAAATGTGTTTAAATACGTGTTTTCTCACGTCTGTGGGTATGAATAGGCTGCTCAATTTTTGTTTTAGAAAATATACTAACTACGTGTTCATAATAAAATGAGTAATCTAGTCTTTCAAGTGAGACGTCTCATGGCAGATGGTCTCTTATTTGTGTGTTTGAATGTCACCATGGAAATTATTCTTGTTTGTATACTGCGACGTTAAGAAAAAAATCCCAGGTACTGGATCAAAGAGGATTTGCTGTCCTGGATTATAAATAAGAGGCTTTATCCCTCTGGTTTTGCTCTCATCTATGTTCTTATATAAGCACATATGGTAATTTATACATATGGAAACGGCCATGGAAGGGACAGCTTAAAGAAATTTACTGTAACATGATTTATATTTATTTTCTGATCTTTGATAGCTTTTTCTAATAAAATCTGGTCTAGAGATTGTTCCATCATCATTAGAGAATAGGAAAAGGACTGCTGTTTTTGGAGGTAATAGTATGATTTGTTTCCAAACCTGCTGAATACAAGGCAGGAAATACACATAAATGTGTTTCAGCGTTTCAAGGCACTGTTTTTTTAATAAACCACTCTAAGGCAAGCTGTAAAATCCATTAGGAGTATAATCCCATGGATTTTGGTGACAGTGCAGCAGTCCACACTGACTAAAAAAATCCCTCCTTATTCTTAAGGTGAAAAAATAATATAGACCAGTTCTGCCTGATTCTGTAATTTGTCATGAGGAAGCTTTGACTAAGTGCAACCCCAAAATGTAATTAGCTAACTTTTTTTTTTTCTGGTAATGTAAATGCAGAGTCAGATCTCTGTGTCATTTGTGGTAACTATTTTAACCTCCTTCTTTTTCTCAAAAAGTGAGAGGTGCCCCAGTGTTTCTTAAACAGCAGACAAAAATTTAACTCAGGCCAGTGCTTCTGGGTTGTTGAGAATGTTTTAGATCTTCAGTCTGGAGACAGAAATAATATGTTGGAATGAAGCTGTAAAAGTCAGATTACATCATTGTCAGACTCCTTGATCCAGTGTATGACGAGTACAAGTCTCAACAAGTGTTTCATCTGGCCTTTTTGTTTTCACTTCACATGAGGTCTGTGAAAAAAGAGGTCATTTTTAGTCCGTAATAACAGATCAAGCGTAAGAGAGGGCGGCCAGTTCTTCTTAGGTATGTCGGAAACACTCAGGCATTTTGTAAATACTTGCTGCAGCATTGCAATAGCATTGTTTCTTTATGCTATTAACTCTTTTCCTAAGATCCAATATAACATTTGTTGTGTGTCTTCATAAATCTGCAAAGGAAATTAATGCTTAAAAGCACGAATGACTTAGTTGCTCTGAAGTTCGGTCATTTTCTCTTTTAAGCAGTTGCCTGTATGTCCTGTGTATGTGCCTATGTCCATTCTCTCAAGTTGGAGAAATTTTTCAGTGTTGGATTACTACTGGGGTGTATGTATGCAGCAGCTTTGTTCCAGTTAAGTTTATAGAAGAACATTTTTGTTTTAGTTCTTGTTTTCTGTTTCTCATTCTTTTCCACTACTCTCTGAGAAGTCAGAAAAAGGCAACTTCAGGTCCTCTCTGCAGGTGTAATTTGTGGAAAAGTGATTCTGATTTTATCCTTTGTCCTCTGGGCAAAAGTATCACTGAAATGGCCAGAAATAGCATCCTTGTTGCTTCATGGGAAAGCACTATCCCAGCAGGCACTGGGAGGGCTGCAGGTACAGGCTGGGAAGGAACAGCAGGAGAAACAGTAGAACTGGTTTCACAGTATCTTCCATTTTTTTCTCTCTGTTGTTGTCTGTTGTTTTTTCTCTCTGTTGTTTCTCTTGTTCTGAGACATTATGCTGTGCTAATTACTCTCTGGGAGGAAAAAAAACCTGCCTTGGATGAAGTGTTTGTTTACAGGGTGGCTTCCTGATGGAATTACTAGCGGAAGGAAGGGATTTCTCCACCCTCCTAGTGCTTGCAGAGAGTTAAGCAGTGGTGCTAGGGATGTTAACAATTCTGCCAATCTTTCTCACCACATCTGATCACTAAGTAGTAGGAACCTGAGAGGTGAGGTTATGGGGAATGAAAAAGAGCATTTCTTAGTCCTGTGTCTGCATCTATTTGTTCTTAGAGTCCCTGAGATCTGTTTATATTTTTCCTGCCTGAGCCTCAGTCTGCTTAGAGTTTTGGTGCAAGAGATTTTCCTTAGCTCTTTCAGTCCTACTGCACAAACTGGTTCTTCTGAGATACCAGCTGTTGTTAATGCCTGTCTCTGTTGTCTTAGAAATACCTGTAGCTTTGGCTGGTTCATCTTCATACAGTCCAGACACAACTTTAGGGGAAGCTTGGGTATATATCTGTAGTTTCATGCAGTTAATGTCTGTTCCCAGGTAGAAACACAGAGGTAAGTGTTGAGCATTCATAACAGCAGTAAAAATTAGGATATTATGTAGAAATGTTGCAGCTATTCCAGATTTGACTGTGAATATCCAGTATCTCTAGCATTTAAGGGAGACGTTAACAGTCCAAACAAACGAAGATTCAAAAAATTACATTACTGGCTCATCCTGATAATCTTGCTCTTCCCCATCATAATTGCAGGTGAAGCCATGTATTTAGTTTTTAATATATATAATTAATAAAGTATTTTGATCCCCAGTTAGGTTAATCTAGCATTGTCCTTGTTCAAGAGAAAAAAAAAAATCCCATGTTTTATGGCCAAATGCATCAGAACAGACATGCAGCACTTTATGATCCTCTTGGATTAACACAGGCACCCATGACATAATGGCTAATTAAACTGGGTTTACAGCTGTTCTCTGAGAAGTTACTGAAAGTTATATTTTTCTATCAGGAATGTGTCTTAGATTTCCACACCTACTCCCCTATCTCAACTGTAGCTTTCTTGTAATGTCTGCATCTTCTGTTCTTCCTCCTGTGTAGATCTAGAATACATTTTTCTAGTCACACATGTTATTTGGAAAGCAGTAGAATGGAAGCTGTAAAGACTTGTAAGCTGTAAAGAGTGCATGTGGGAGTGAGGAACTGGAGACACTTGTGCTTGAAGGTGAACAAGTAACTGGTTTATGCTGGGGGCAGAGGAAAATTTAAATCGGTATTCAAGGAGAACTGGCATCCAGGAGATAAAAAATAGGCATGAAACTGAAACTTCTTACTGTCATGGAGAAAGCTGCTCAGTTCCATGAAAGCAGAGAAAAAACAGAGTCTTTGAAGACTCCATGTGACGGATGCATTACTGAAATTTAGAAGGCAGAAAGGAGATAGATTTTGTCTCATCATCTGTATTTTCGTTGAAGATACCAGTATTTTTGTCAAGAGGGAGAAAAAAGTTACATGCAATTGATAGGAGAATAGGAAGAACATTAGTTCCAACTTCAGTGGAATGAAAATGCCAGGATTAGGGGGTGTCACAGAAAAGGAGGACCAGAGATAAAGTTGTCTGAGATCAAGACATTCTATTTCAAACGCTAGTTAAGTTTGGGGAATAGGCTATCAAGGCAGAGTATTTGAAAACTATTAAAAACAGATTTCTTCACAATGGTATAGGTTATTTTACATTCTTCAGTGGAACGAGGTGGACCAGATGATTTTACTTTTATGTCCTTTCTAGCCCTGTATTTCTATAACACTTTATAACTCCTTTTAACTCTAGTGGCTTTAATCTGGGTGGTTGCTGTGGAATATGTCGTGAAAGTGGTGAATCTTAAAGATGCTGGAGCAAAATGTGCCTCTGGAATTTATATCCTGATCAAATATAATTATACTTAATCTAGGCTTTTTGGTTCCAGCTTTTCTAAATGTTTAAGCCTTGTTAGCCAAACTGGTTCCTAGCAATTCCAGTCCTTTTATCTAAAATCTTAAATATTCCACAGTATTTTTTAGTTTGAGTTTTTGGTTAAAAAGAACATATTACAGATAAAGGGTTTTCATTGTTCTTGTCTGTTAACTGATTAAGCAATCAGAGTTTCAGAATGGTAATATCTAATGCTTGAACAACTTAATTGAAATCTTCCCACTTTTATTTTTGTAGAACCTTGATGTTGGAGTAAAGAAGGTGAAGTTATATGTTGATGAGAACCTTGTGTTTGATGGTGAATTAGAGAGAGCCTCTGGAGATCTCCTCACTGAGAACAGCACTACAATTGACCTTACGAATCACAAGCAAGATATCTCTGCATATTCTTCAAATGAAAGGAAAGAAGTAAATGTACCTGCAGTCACAGAGAACAAAGCAGGCCTACATTTTCAATGCTTACAGTCAAACAGTGCTTTACTAAACTGGAAATCTCTGCCAGAAGAAAATCTTCTTGAGCGTAAGATGCACTCTGTCAGCTTTACCAAGAAAAACTTGTCTGAGTTACAGGATGATCCAGAGGTGTTGCCATCTCAAGTTTGTTTAAAAGATGCCAAGGAGGATGCAGCAGTACAAGCAGTCAGGGAGAGTGTTCAATCTGATGATGAACTTTCTTTGAGTGAGCAAATGGAAAAGCTAACAGGAAGAAAACTATCTGATTCTACAAGTGCATTTCCTCCTTGGTTACAGTCATCTTCCCAAGTAACAGAAAATCATCAAGCTACTTCCAGTAAGGAGAAGCCTCCCTGGCTTGCTACAGAATGTGGTTTAGGCTTGAGATTTCAAACACAGTCAGATGCACTAATGAAAAACTTTTCAGAAATGACTAATGAGGATGTCAAATGGCAGAGAAATGAACTGGGAAGATCCAGTAGTAGAAATGCAAATGAAAATGAGAGATCACAATTGCCAGCCAGAAGGGATGGTGGTGAAGGCTTGGACATATTGGAGCAACTTTCTAACAAAAATTCCTGCAGCTCACAGTACCCTACAAGTGGAAGGAGGAGTGTCAGACATGGAAAGAAAGAGGGATTGAACACTATAAATCTTGGAGAAGATGGTTTTGCACTCGGAGGTAAGAGATCACAATAGGAACCTTAGTGTGCGTGCTGACGTGTTCTCCATTTTGCACAATCATAGAATCATATAGAGGGACTTCATGAAATTCCAGGAGGTATAGACAGTGAGATTTTTTGTGGTATTTGCAGTATTCAGTTTTTCTCATTCATACTATGTTAATACTCAGAGTCTCTATCCTTGTCCTACACCTCATGTGAAATGTTCTTGTTCTGAAAAATTTACATTCTGAGTCAGTACTTTTAAATTTATTTGGAGAAGATGGAAGACTAAATTTCAGTTAATTGTATTATAAAAATTGACAATCATGCAAACCAGTGAATATCTGGAAAAAAATCCAGAACAGTGGGACCTCAAGGTAGTGAGTATTTTTACAGAATTTGTCTTTCTCAGAATACATGCCAAATGTATTTATTCAGAGTGAAGGAAAAACTGCCCTTATTTTCCTTTCTCCACTTATGACCTTATATACCTCTTTCAGACCTTTCCCTCAGACATCTCTGCTCATTTATGAAGACTTTTCTAGTAAATTTAGCTATTACCTGGTCCATGCTTTTGATTTCTCCTTGTCATCCATCTCCAAACGTTTTTTGGTTTGCCAAGGTCCTGTTGGAGGGGCAGACCCAGATTTGTGTAGTTGTGTTCTCTCCCTCTGGCAGCAGCCAGCGGCATGTCCCCAGGGAAGAGGGTGAGAATTGGGCAAGTTCTGAAGTTCATCCTTGGCATTCTGTAATTCTTCAGCATTTAATAATTTGTCTCAAATGATGAGAGTCTGGCATAACAAGGACAAGGCCCAGACAATGAGAAGGAGACGTTAAAGAAATACCAGTTGAAATTTTGAGTATGATTTAGTAAAATTAACCATCAAAACAATGTACATGAAAGTGGAGCTTGTTATATATTGTATTTGGGGGTTTGCATTACAGTTATGGTCATAAGGGACAGGCAGTGTGCTGAAATACAGGAATGCCAGCTCAAATTCTGCAGCAGGTATGGCATGAAGTTTTCAGACAAAGGTGAAGAAAATAGCTCTCTCTAAACATAGAATGTCTGATTTTTTTTTATTCCTTCTCTGCCTCTCTATGGAGGAATCAGCAATTTTGTAAGTATATCTGAAATTATACCTCAAAGAAGCACAGCAGCTGTTGGAATCACTGCCATCTCTCTTTCAGCCACCTACTCATTGCAGCCCCTATGCTGTGTCACACATTTTACAGTATCTCTGTTAGATTAAAAACTTGTCAACATTATGGAAACTGCAAAGAAATCCCACCTTAGTAATTTCTGCTCAGTTGTAAAAATTGTAACAATTTAGGAGTTTTAATGTAAAGTGTAAGATGAGGGTTATCATGATTCTAATGATAATGTCCTCTAATTTTGCTCAGAGCAGATTTTGTCATCTGGTGCTTAAATCTCCCAGTATGTGTTTGTTCCTGGGAAAATGACGTGCCATCTAGCAGCTTTTGTTCCCTCTGTCCTGTACTGTGCAGGGTAAAGGATCTTCGCAGTGGAGCTGAGTGAGCATTAACGAAAGGGAAACAGTTTTAAATGCTTCCCTAAGAGTGGTGAGCTTTAATTGGCAAGGGGCATGGGGAACTGCAGTTCCCCAACAACACTATGTGACAAGGGAAGGCTGCACAACCTCATATGCAATGTCACAGCATGTCTTTGGTCATTAAATGAAGAATAATGAGAACAAGAGTCATTAGAAATAGCACATACGTGCATGGCTGGCTTGAGTTAATGTTGCCACAAAAATGTACATTTTTTTCTTTGATAACTGGTTTAATGTGCAAAGGAAATAAATGGAAGGATACTGATGACATTTGCAAATAACATGTAATTTGGGGTATTATGAGTTAAGAGGATTGAAGAATTGCACAGAAAGATGAACTTGAGGACTGGAGTAATAGCAATGGAATGCAATTCCATAGTAATGCTTGCAAGGTCATTGGGGAACTAATATCAAAAAATTAAGTTGTAAGCAGAGTAATCATCAATTGCAAATGACCAAGGAAGAGAAGGATCTTGGTTGAGTAGCTGATCACAGATGGGCTATGAAATCCTAGTGTGATGCAGGCGTGATTATAGCAGTGTGCTCTGAGCATGTATCAGCTGAGGCATTTCTGTTAGTTAGGGAAAAGTTAATATCTCAACACAGGCACTCGTGAGACTTCAGTTGAAAAACTGCAGTTCTGATCATCCATTTTCAGGAAAGCTGATTACAAAGTGGAACAGATACAGAAGAGAGCTTTTAGAGTGATTTGGGAAATGAAGCGTGTGATTGCAGCATGGAAATATGATTGCTATTTATAACTGCAGGGAATAAAAATGAGATTAACACAACAGAGAGAGAAGAAAGGTGGTGCTTTGTTTTTTTTTCAAGCTAGTGTTGCCCCAAAATGCAGTTTACTAAAGTTTTGAGAGGAATTGTATAGTGTGTGTTGCCATCAGAAGCAGGACAAGGGACTTGGTGATTCAAGACACCCTTCCTATACCCCCAGGGGAGATGGATGTTTGAGGTGTTACTGTTTCTGGACTGTGGGACAGCATCCATCTTACAATCCTCTCTGGCATGGTAGTTAACATTTCAAAAAAAAGCAAACAAAACCAACAGGGAAAGGACTTCCAAAACAAGGAAGGCCAGTGGATGTCAATACTCTTCTGTACATGCTCATCCTCAAATATTCAAGCTCTAGGATTTTAAATTGGTAAATACATATACAGTATCTTCTTCAAGTAGGTTGTGAGACTCTGGGAATTGTTTTTTGGGGTGACCCACCCCATGAGTATCCATATGGATGATGTTTTGAACAAGAACTTACAAATTAGTCTTGGTCTCTGAAACTTTTACCTTTGCTTCCAATCTGTATTTCCCTTGTGGGATGAGAAGGAGTGGCCAGGTTGATCTCCAGTCTTTAATTCTGGAAGACAAATCTCTTCCAGGTAGTTTCCATGTGCTTTAAAATGCAGGGTTTTTTATCTCACTTGGCCCTGCTGTAAATGATTATTGTTCATAGATACATTAGGAACATTGCCTCTTTCCCAGTGTTTCCAAAAACAGAGTTAAAAGTTAGTCTTGATCACTCTTTTGGGAAAACACTCTTTTGCATTTTCCTGCAATTGGCATTTATTCTTGATAACCATTTGTTTTAGTATCCACTCAAGGATGTTGTACAGAAGTAAAATCCGGCCCATGGGCCTGTAATTGTTTAGTACTTCATTTCCTTTTCTTCGTTTATTTGAAGAAAATACTTAAGTGACAGCTTTATTGAAAATCTTAGTTATTATGTGCTCTTAACTGCTTTGAGATGGAAATTAAGCAGCTCCCCAGTGCAGGCACAAGGAGAATCTGCCTTGCTCCCACTGTGCCCCTCTGATTTGTTGCCACACTGCATCCCATTTGATGCTTCATCGTTATCCCCCTTCTGCATTGCTGACAAGTGAGAAAATGGTTGGACATTACCTGCACGGAATGTAGTGCTCACCTCATCCTCCTGGTATGCTGAACCTGCTGCTTTCCTCACCACTTTGCTTTATATACATTTTTGTAGGAAGCACTGGCTTTTTTTTTGTGATGCTTTGGAGACTTAACCAGTTCAGCCATTTCCAACTGTATCAAAGATCTGCAGAAATGCATACAGATTGTTTAAACTATTGTGACAGCCACACAATAAGGATTACTGGGCAAAATCCCAGTGTCTCTAGGGTCAAGAATTCACAGTCTCAAACATAGCTGCATTTTTGTATCTTGGCATGAGCTCTGCTCTTCAATATTTGAAAGTGTTTGGTTTTCTTAAGTCTAAATGAGGAAGGGAAATGGGGACATGTGCCCTCCTAACAAAGAGGCAGTATAAAAGTGGTGGTGTTACAGAATTTCACAGGAAAGCAAAATGAATATGAGCAGCATAATTCTGGGAAGTCTGTGTTGTAGTGGTTTGTCTCCAGTCCTGGTTATGCATTAAGTGCCTATGTACTGTTGTTTTCAGATGAGGGCTTTTCTATCAAGGACGTAGCAACCCCTAGAGCAAAGAGGCACAATGAACAAGAGCACACTCTGCAGGAGTCCTGGAACTCCTTGGTGAAGTTTAATTATTCTCATCGGGGCCGAATCTCTAACATGGATTTTCAAGGGGATATCTTTGATGAGTTTCTCCAGCAGCAGAAAATCAACCGGCCCGGAGACAATCAGCACATGAGAAGAGAGGGACTACCAACACTACCAAAACGGCAAGAAGAAGAGAATTCCTTGGAGGCACATGATGGAAATGATTTTAAAATTCCCGTTTTACCTTATGGGCAGCGCTTAGTGATAGACATTCAGACAACATGGGGAGACAGGCATTATGTTGGTCTTAATGGAATTGAAGTTTTCAGTTCTAAAGGAGAGCCTGTTCAGATTTCAAAAATAACAGCTGAACCACCTGATATAAATATTTTACCAGCTTATGGCAACGATCCCAGAATAATAACCAACCTAATTGATGGTGTAAATCGGACGCAGGATGACATGCATCTTTGGCTAGCACCATTTACCCCTGGAAAACCTCACTTTATCTTTATTGACTTTGTGAATGCCTGTCAAGTAGCTATGATTAGGATTTGGAATTATAATAAATCTCGCATACATTCTTTCAGAGGTGTGAAAGACATTGTAATGGTGTTAGATGAACAGTGCATCTTCAAAGGAGAAATTGCAAAAGCTTCAGGAACCCTGTCTGGAGGTATGCTGTCATTTTTTTTATTTCCTTTCTGGAAACAGCACTACAATACAAACAAATACATTTAGCTTGTTTGTTCTCACTTTCCACTGCAAAGCAAGCTGGCAAACTGTCTAGTATTTACTCCTTTTAATTTCAAAATGTAATGCATCCCCACTAATGCTTTCTTCAATGATACTGTGAATTTTAGTAGCATATGGAGCTAATCTCTGTTCTTAATGATGTCTGAACAACAAGACCATATTTCAATAGCATGGGATCATATAGTCACTAGACATTTAGAAGTCGTAGATTTTGACTTGCTTTCACAGATATTGTCTTTTGGAAAAGGTGATGGAGGAGCTGTTTTCTCATTTTCTATGTGTTTGAAATTGGAGTTCTCTGTTTTTCTGCTATGTAGTGTAAATTTGCGAATGAACATACCCATTTTATCAATTTACCATATATATTAAACACTGTTGCAAATTAAATGTAAAAAAGGACCATAAATAGTTTTAATCACTCTATATATTCTTTTTTTATGGTTTCTCCAATTAATTCTGTGTCTTGCCTTCAGCTCTCGAGCACTTTGGGGACACTATATTGTTCACTACTGATGATGAGATCCTTGAAGCAATATACTGCTATGATGAGACACATGATGGAGAAACAGAAAATGCCAGCTCCTTGAGATACGAGGAAGAGCTGAAAAGGCCAACAACTGCTGACAGGGAGGGAGATGAAAGACCTTTTACACAAGCAGGCTCAAGAACAGAGGATCAACAGGTAGGGGTCTCTGTGTTCAGAGCTCGCTACAAAGTCTTTCTGAAACATGACATGGAAGTAGGAGACACTGTTTTCTATGACAGAGCAGAGCATTGCAGAAGTACTAATATGGGTATCTCTTTGTTTTGAAGATTTTTTTTTTTTTCCAACAGCTTAATAATTTATGCATTTTTCGAAGCCCAAAATGTCCTCCAAATTCTGAGTTCCCCAATTAAATTATAAGGAAGACAGGCTATACTGGATTATACAAATAGATTTTTCTTCATTGACCTGGACAGAGATTAGAGGTAGTTCTTTTTGATTTAGGTGCTCCTGAAGGTTTATGTCAGTGTCAGTGATTTTTACCATGCTGTGGGTAGCTGTGCTCCCTGTCACTTGAAACCGAGTATTTTTCCATCTTTTCCAAAGAGAGTATACTCTCTCTTGTTTCTTCCTCTACAAATTGGGTATCTTATGTAAGAAAGATCTCCCTCTCTCAACCCTCCTCTCATTTTTTCCTGTTTCCCTTTTTGACTAGCATGTTCACAGGTCTCTGTGCAGTTTACAGTATAAAAATACTCCTTTACTATTTCATAGAGTAGGTATTTTACTACTTGGAGGAAGGTGGTGTTTTCAAGCACTGGAGTCTTGTCTTACTCCAGCCCAACAGTCCAGTGCCTGAGCAAAGATTCTGCAAGATTTTCTGCTTAAGATGGTGTGGGGCAATCTTTGCCCTGCTTTCAGTCCAACTGTCTACCTTACAATCTTCATGAACCTGTTGCTTCAGTAAGGATGTAGTTTTCTAGGGCACTCACTTGGAAGTCAGTGAGGAGATCCAAAGCTGAACTAATCCAAATTCCAGCTGGTTCAGCTAAACAGTCCCCAGAGATACATGGTTCCTAATGAGCCTTGTGCTGTTGTCAAGCTTTCCTGTTCTGTTTTGTCCTTTTCTCCTGGTGGTTTATAAGACAGGAAAATGTCATGACACTGAAATCTGACCTCGCTGTTAAAATTGTGAGTCAGTGACTCCAACTCTTTGGCTTCTCTGGTGCTTGATTAATACTATCAACAGTAATTTTGGTCCCACCTTTGCTTGTGGTATCTTAAACTGTTCAGACACCTTATGCAGTGCTGGATTTAAAGAACACAGATTAAAGTTCACCTTTTTGGATCAGTTGTTTATTGAAAGCATTCACCAGGACCTCTTCCATTGCCAAAGCCTAGACTTGGACTGTCTGGCCCTTGCTCAGAGCCTCTGCCTTTTATTTTGGTGTGCAAAGAGCATCATCTGTGATGCTCTTCATAGTCCTTTTCTAACTCTGAAACACGCTGTATCAGCAGTCAAATAACAAATGCTTTTGTGTCTGAGCCATTGTTCTCCTTGTCATTCTGTATTTGCTGGTACTATCAAGATTTTGTAGAAGGATGCTTATGCTGTCAGAATGATACAGATCTACTAGGTGATTGTCTTCCCCAGCATAACATTGTCATTCAGACTAGCATTGGATTTGAACAGTTTCTATCTGTTGATCATTGACCCTTTTTTCCTGTAGCATGTACAGTGGATGAATCATTGTTTTACTGCACTGTCTGCAAAACTTTTTCAAAAGCTCTTACACAAATGCCTCACTTCCTTGTCAGTATTACCTACTATTATCTGCCTTTCCTAGGAGTTCAGTAATCCTTAACATGTCAACTTTTATAGCAGGCCAGACCTGCAACTATTGCACTTGGCTCAACCATGTGGCCAGTAGTGGGTACCTAGGAAGCATGTCAGAAGAAAGCAAACATGCAGTGGTGTTCCTCTGAAACACTCAGCCACCCCTTAGAAATTTATCTCACAAGAACTTTTTTACTTAATGTTTGTGTTTAATGTGCTGCCATGGAGTTTTGCCCTAATTCATCCAGTAGCTTTTGGAATCCATATGCACTTTTGCAACTTACAGAGCTGAGTGGTAGGTTTCCCAGTTTAACTTGCATAGTGCTAAGAAACTGTTTCTGTTTGTCTCTAGGTTTGTTTAGTTTCCCTTTTTGTGTTGAAAGAAACAAAACAATTATTCTTTACTCCCTTCCTCAAGCCACTTCAGAGATACATGCCTCTCTCTTACAGTGATTTCTAAATCTCATTTTCCCAGAATGTTTAATCCTACTTTAGTCCTTCCTCACATGGAAGGTGCTATACAGTGTGGTCAGGCATAGGTTATGGCAATACTTTCTACTTTTTATTGCTTTTCCAATAACTCCTGTACTATGGTGGTGTTTTGTTCTAGCCTTAAAGATCTAATAACACTGGTAGGACAATTTTTACAAGGAGAAGTAGTTGAAATAGTAGAAAATTGTTCCATATCTGAAAGAAAGAATGGTGAGCACTCGTGGAATGAAGGGATCTGAGTAGCCAAGGAGGAAGAGGGAGAAAAGAGGAGATAAGGTGGCTTGGCACAGATGGTTTATGGCCTGCAAAGAAGGGCATTATTCAGCATTCTATAAAACCAGTAGCTTTATTGCATCCATGGGTTTTGATATTCAGTAGAGTTGTAAATTTTAATTCCCATGCTGGTTTTTCAAAGTTGTTTTGAGAAAAAAAAATCATCAGACATCAAAGCTAGTGTTACTTTTTTTGCATGACAGGCACCCCCAATCGAAGGGGGTTTTCCATCTTCTGTAGGTTATCTGTCTGTGTTTAGTTCAATGCACAGTTCTTGTTGCATTTCACCTATCCATTTACCACAAGGACGTTTGCTACAACACAAAGTGTATTGCAGTCTGGGAACATACACAAAGAAGATCCAGCACATCAGTGTTTATACTGCAGAGATCTAATACAGCAGCAGGAGAAAAGTGTTGACAAGCCTTTTATTTTTCTTAGGCACAATATAGGTCCATGTGTTGTGTTCTGGATGACACAGAGTCTACTTCCAGTGTTGAAGGGAACTATAGAGAAAGTCTGGATTTCCTCTTTGGTTTTTTGTCTACTGATGAGGATTGAGTTGATGTTTTTGTAGAACTACTTATAATTATGCTATGATTTCATTCTAATCTGCTGTTCTTTGCTTTGGAGCCCAATATTGTATATGTAAAATTAGGTTTGTTTTCCTCATGTGTAGCATTTATGAATTTACCTACAGAGAACCTAATTAGCCATTTAATTACTCTCATTCAATGAGATGAAGCCTATCTTCAGCCCTTTTTAGTTACCCTTTGTCTTTACTAACAGAATTACCCCAGTATGATCAGCAATTTTTGCCATCTGTTTATTCACTTTCTGATTCGTTATGTTGAATAGCCTAGGTTTTTATGACCTAGTTTTGTCAGAGAACAAGTGCAAGCTTTTGGACAAGTTTCCTTGTTTGTTCTGTCCCTTGATTCTTGAGAGGAAATTGTGGCAATCTCTGAGGTCTTAACTTCCTACCAGACTTCTTGTCTCTGCAAGATACTTGCAACATGTTGCAAATGCAACACAGTATCATTAGCTAATGTAAATCAGAGTGACTTGAGAATTTCAGTCTCTTTGGGAATTGGTAGCTCCAACACTGGTCTCTATATGCACTAAAGAAACACCCAACCTCTAACAGTCCTGACTTGCTAAAAACCCAAATAATCTACATTTTGTGGCATGTTTTTAATTGTTTGCCTGGGTGGTGAGACAAAGGGGAGATTGATACACAAAAGTACAAAAGACTGGATGTAAAAAAAAAAAAGATAAAGAGAAATGGACAAAAAAATCCCACCAAACCCACACCTTTTATAAACAATCTATCTGTAAGGTATACGTGGAATGTGTGTTCATTGCACCTGCTGTTTTACTTTTTAGGTTCAAGAGCTGGATCTCCTCTCTGAATGTATTCCCAAGGAATCAGGAATATTTACTGGAAAATGTAAGTGCTTCCATTTACTTCCTACTTAACCACCCTCCCCTCATCATGTTATGAAGGAAGATCTGATTTGTCAGAGCTGTACAGAACTTTGTGACAGATGTAAAGTCTAGAATAGAGATGAGTAATTGAATATTTAAGGCAGCTTTGTTTACTATGGCATTTAGAACATCATATTGTAACAGTTGGCTTTTAATCTAAAAAAAATAACACTAGCCATTTGCTTAGTCCCTGAATGGGATTTGTAATAGCTGTGTCCATTACCCAGTAATTCTTTCCCAATCCTATGTATTTATGTAGACTGACTGAATTTCTCAGATCAGATTGACAACAGAAACCCTACAGTAAAACTAGACCAGAATGTTAAATCTATACGAAATTTCTTTATCCTGTACAAAACCAACTCCATGTGGGCCTTTAAATTATTTTCCAGAGAGCTTCTGGATGATGCTGAAGTTTCAGTGTCAGTTCCTGGTACCTTGAGCAGCACCAGAGAAACTGGGTTCTTGGGCCTGGCATAAATTTACTAGCAACCTGTGATGTGCTCTCTGAAAATGCACACAAGGCCATGGGTTATTCAGCTACCTGTCTGTGAACTCCACCTGGGATCTGTGATCTAGGACTACATCTAGACCTTTAAAGCATGACTGTGATCAGTTCATAGCTGTGAACTTAAGATGGTTTTCCTCTTTTCTCAAAGTGGGTGAAAAGATAGTGAGGATGTGTCCAGAGCTCAGCAGATGCAGTCTCATATTGACAAGATACTGTTAATCAGCTGGTGGGCTAACCTGTCTCTACCAGACAGGGAGGTTGGTTCTGGTTCCCATGAGTTCTTGCAGGGAGAGAACTGGAGAAAGCTAGCTGCATTTAAGGGAGGCTTTCCATGTCTTATGACACACAAAAGAAGCTCCAATTTACTGTCTTACACAGGAAAAAAATTGTCATTAATTGCTACAAGGGACTATCTTTGTAAATAACCTTGCTCTGTCCTGTCTGTGTATATTGTTCCTTGTTCTCCTTAAGCTGTGAGGTAATTCCTTAGACCTGAGTTGAGAGTCCCTTTGCTTCTTTTTTTTGGGAAATTACTGGGAGTTGTGCAAAACTTAGGATCAGTATGGCCTTTATCATCAGGAACTCCTGATAATAAATTGTGCATGGAGTCACTGAGGATTTGTATCCTTGACAGGTAGTTTTTATCTCTCTCATACTGCTGCCAGTCATGATGTCAAGGAATAACAGTGCCTCAAAGTGTAATTATCACTGGAACAAAGTCCAGTTTGGGGCTAGTTACTAGAGGTGTTCCTCAGGGACCAATATTACAGTCTACACTGATTAATGCATTTTTTTTTAAGTAACGTGGATACTGGAATAAAATGCAGTCTCAGCAAGGTTGTGGATGATACAAAACAGGGGAGTTGTTGTTATGCTGGAGGGCAAAGCTTCAGAGAGACCTCAACAGGTTGAATTAGTGGTACCCTCATGGTGTTCCATCATGTAACCTCCTGAAGTTCAGGGCAAATGCACAGGCCTGTGTGTGGGATGTAATAACCCTGCCATGGGACTGGCTGGGGACCAGATGGCTCAGAAAGCTGCTTTATGCTGAAGGGCCTGAAGTCCTTGTAAGACCACAAGTTGAACAAGAGGCAGCAGAGCAACCTTGCAGCTGGTCCTGGGATATAAAAATGAGAGTGCAGCCAGAAGGTCAAGGAGAGGCATTCTTTCCCTGCTTGCCACACTTGTGAGACTGTATTTGGAGTACTTCTAGTACGGAGCTCCCTAGGACAAAATGATTGACATCCTCATGTGAGTCCAGAGGAGGAGGGTGGCCAAGATGGTCAGGAACTACCTGAGTACCTGACATGTGAGAAAAACATGAGTGCTACATTGGTTTTTTCATCCTGGAGAAGGTGAAGGGGAGATCTTCTTACAGTCTGTAGCTTTCGGGAGGGCACAGAGAGGACAGATCTCAGGGATGCAACTAGGGTTGGATTAAGAGGCAGAAGAAACAACAAGGTAGAAGACAAGAATTTCCAACTGGATGTTAGGAATTTTTTTTGACCCTGAGGGCAGTCAAACACTGGAGCAAAGGCTGAGAGGTTTTGAAATCTGCCAGCCTTGAAGACACTCAAACTTCCACTCGTTAACTCCTGATAGACCTGATATGATGCACATGCTCTGATCTTGGAGTCAGATGAGAGACATCCAGAGGTCCCTTCCATCCTGCATTGTTCTAAGATACTATGAAGGCACTGGCATGCTGATGTGAATTCTAAACCTGATGTGGACAGCTGCTTCACCCTGTCTTTTCCTTTTTGTTTGAAAATACGCTCTGTCTTTGCCTGGGAGTTCTTGCGTACTAGTACACTAAGCAAATGTAGTTTTAGCCTTGGGAATAGCATCTAATATCAATGTAGCCATAGCTCCAGACTTGTCAGCTAATACAACTATTTATTTCTTAGTGTCCTTGCAAATGATAATGACATCTTACACCCAAGTGAGTTTATGTTTATATCAAGACTTAGCCTTGTGTAAATTACTACAGCTATTTAGAGGTAATTGGGCTGGATGGCTTAATAGCTTTAATGCTTGTTTGTTTTACAGGGCATCATGACTACTGGTGCTTTTGTAGACATTATCCAACCTAATTATTTCTGAGCATCTATAATGTGTGAAATGGAAGATATCTTTAATTTACAGTGATGGATTTTTATGGAACTTGACCAGATGGGAATATTACTTGTTATATCTATATATGCTATTTGTAATTTTTTCAGAAAGGTATTAAATAGGTGGATCTGAAGATACACATACAGCCTTCTGTCTGCTCAGTTTTGCTTTCCTATTTATTTTCTGGATATGCAGGCTGTTTTTCACTAATACTGTCCCACTAAAGTACTTGCATGTGTTTAATTTTGGCGTGAAGGTAGTAACTTAAACTCATTAGGTAAACCCAGTTTGGTTTTTGGTGTAACTGTGAGTTGGTGTTCTCTAACAATTAATGAATTTCTAAGAGACTGGATTATACAGGTGTATGCAGTCAATTAGCTAGAAAAAAGATGATAGACTTCAGATTATTTGGTCTTCTCTGTGTTGGCATAATATTCAAATCTGTCTTGTAACTGCTTATATGTATTGTTGAACTACTGTCAGTCTACAATCTGAGTAATGAGACACTTAATAACAGGTTTGGTCAGGGAGTAAGTGAACAAGATGTTGGTAGCCCACTGGAGTCTAACACAGATTCCTGGAAGATCCTGTTCCATGGATGTAGACATGCAGACCAGGAAGTATCCAAACAAAGCATATGGTTATTTAATGCAAACAAAGCACACATGCAGCTAATCCTTGGAGCTCCCGTGCATGCTTACGTTGGCTTCTTTACTTGCAACTAGTAAGAATGTATATAAGGTTATTATATGTATATTCTTTCATATAGGCCTGCAGCTGAATTTTACCATGACTTGGGGAGACTCTCATTACCTTGGACTGACAGGACTTGAAGTGATAGGAAAGAATGGTCATGCATTAAAATTAAGCACAGAACAGATGTCTGCTTCACCCCAAGACTTAAATGATCTTCCAGAGTATACAGGAGATTGCAGAACATTAGAAAAGTAAGTAGCAAAAGAGCTGGCTTGCCCAAGCATTTTCTGCAGGGCTTTTTTTTCCTTTGCCTGTTGTTTCCGCCAACAATTCTGGAGTTTTATCAATTTTAGATGCATTTTACGTCAAACTTTATGAAGTAATAGAATTATATAAAGTTTTATGACAGTGACTCACATGAGCATGATTTTCATGCCATCACTGCTCGTTCTTGGATTTCACAAGCTATCCAGGAACAGCTTGTTGTAGAAACATGAATGAGATGTTTCCAAAAGATGATGTTTGAGTTAGGAGATGGTAACATGCCTGGTTGGTATCTCTGCGAAGGACTTTCCAGGAAGAATTGTGGGTGTTCTGTAGCATCTGTCAGTGCATATGCAGTGAGATTCATGCTGGATTTCTGGATAATTTCAAGGAAAATGTTCAAATTAGTAAATGGTGGGGATGTATTAGGGTATTGCAGAAGTAGTTGCTGTTCTTTTGTTAATTCTGCAAGTTTGTTGTTTGCTTTTTTTTCCAATGACATTTTCTTCATTGACAAATACACTTCCTCAAATTAACTCATACTTCCTAAATGGTAGCAATGTAGAAATCATAGATTATAGGTCTGGAGAGGACCTGACATTTGTTATTATTGAAGCTGTATCCTGTTGTTTCTGAGTCCTATCTTGATTTTAAAAGGTAATTTCAGTTCTAATCCTGTCCTCTGGCACATTTATGGACTTGTGAATAAGTATATGAATTAGGACTTTTCCAAGTCTTTGAGTCTTCCTTAGGATCTTCTATTTATCTGCATGTACACTAATTCTGTTCTTTGTAATTTTGGCTAATCTGACTAATACAGATGTCAAGCTTGTGTATAATTCCTCAGTTCTTCTGCCTATTTGTGTGAAAATCTCTTCTGTAGGCATCAAGATCCAAGAAATTTGTTTATTCAGACTCCACCGTGATGGACCCAGATGCAAAGAAGTCATTTAGGTTTCCTTTTGCTTTTTTCTGTTCTCTGACTGCTGCTTTTACAGCCCAGTCATCTGTTAATCCTGCAGAATTTCTGGCAGGCTTTCTGCCCCTGATGTATTTGAGGAATTTTATTTATGGTACCTTTTGCTTGCTAGCCTTCATGCTCTCTTTTTTGGCCTATGCACACACATTTAACCTTCCAGGGTTTATGATCATATCAATTTAAGGGTTTTTGATCATGACTTTTGTTGAAAGATGGCTTATAATAACTTTATACTGCCACTGAACCAGGCTGCCTTTGATTTTTCAAGTCCTTCCTCTTTCTAATGTCTTTCTTAGAGAGCAGGATACATCTGTTCTGTGCTTCCAGTATCCCTTAATACCCTCTCTGCTATGTGTAATGATTTTATTTTATGGTGTTGCTCCTTTTTTTTTTTTTTTTTTTTTTTTTTTCTTTAAAAATTTTTCATTTTTTTTTAAAAACCTTTTTGGACACAAA